TTTGACAGGCGCACCCAATGGCCAATAATGCCAGGTAACCAATTTAGACAAAGAATGGTTAGATAGGGATATTGATATGAAGTTGTTGTTTTATGGTCTTATTTTATTATTATTGATAATCATTTTATTTTGCTATATTTGATTTGCACTGACATAATTTTATTACTTTATCATACCTGATTGTATTTATCATTTATGACTGTACATCAATTTTATTGCATAACTCTTGTCCACCACTATACCACTTGTTATTTATATATTTTATTTATACAAATACCATTTATTATTGTTGCTTGTGACCTAAGTTATATTATACTTTATGTTTCACATTATTGTTGTTTGCTGCTGTACATTGATAATTGTTTCAATGTGTATTTGCTTTTCTACATCGTCCGAGCCTATTATTTATGTAGGTGAATAATCTTAGCAATATGATAATATAATTGATTATATTCATATTGATTACTTTGATTTTGTTGTATTATTTATATTGTTGAGATGTGCGACATATATGCATGTCTGTATTGTATATGTGGGTTTTTAAGGTTTTACCTTATTAACTTAAATCAATCATACTTTTCAAATACAAATGTTTTTATTTATATTATTAATGTACAGTAACAATAATTAACTCTTGTATTAATTGCCTTTATTAATAAACTTATTTTAATTTAATACTTTTTCTTTGCTTTTTAAATATCTTTTCAATTGCTCAAGTACTTACGTATCCAGAACCGTATTCACAACAAAAAGGGGTCCTAAATTAATTTCTTTAAACTAGACGATCACGTGTTTTGGCCAAAGGTAGTTTTTTTATGGTTTTAATATTCTTTTTAATTATTAATGTGTGCCCCCCATCCCCCGTTCATTACAAATTGGTGTCAAGTGACCAGGATTTGTTTTAGGTAATATTGTTTTTTTTGTTCTTTATTATTTATTTATAATTAATGTCAAATATCCAGGATTCGTTTGGTCTAATATTGTTTTTTATTTTTGTTGATTGGTTCTTGCTAATTTATTTCTAGGATTTATTTTATTTTATATTGGTTTTATTTTGTTTAACAGTTTTTTTTGCATGATTTATTTAACCTGAATGTTTGCATGTTATAATTATGAATTGACGTTGCTATGTTTTGCTATGTTATGTTATGTTTTGCTATGATTTGATATGTTTGCTATGTCTTGTTATGTTGGCTATGGTATGTTATATTATGTTATATTATAAAATGTTTATTAATGCTATGTTATGTCTTGCTATGTGTTGTTAATTTTTGTTATGTCCGACTCACGAAAATTTAATACCCTTTTCTAGGATTTTGTATTGTTCATTTAATTTTTAATTTTTATTCGTGTTCCCGTCACTTTATGTCAGGTGATTAGAAGTTTGTCTATTTATTATAGTTGTATATTGTATTTCTTGTGTTACCATGTGTCAAGGGTGTTAAAAGTTCTTTTTGTTTATCTCTTGTTTCGCCAAATTAATGATATGGGTTGGTTTTGGTCCGGTTGACAGATTTATGATTTTCGCACAGTGTGGTAAAATAATTTTTGTTTATCTGTGTTTAATTTTTTTTTCATTTTCATAGAATACAGAATTTCGCTTTCCTATTTTATTTTCAGGAATCTTAATAGTTTGTTTTTTTATAGTACCTTCTTGTTAATAATTTTGTCTGGGTTACTACAACATTTGCTGTGCTTTTCAGCACAAATTGTTGCTGCTGACTGGAGGATACGTTCTTAAAAAGTACTGGGCATTTGATTAGATAAATTTTTGTTTTTATGTTATGATTTTACTGCTTTTTTTATTTTTATTTTTATGCAACAACTTTGATTGAATGACGACCTGAGTTTTACCAAGGAATATTTGATGACATAATTACCAAATGTTAAATAATTTGGAATGTGCTAAACTGGAATTACTGGATGATGAGAACTTCAACTGCAATTGATAGGACTGTCAGGATGATCATGATGATGACGATAATCAATGATGATTTAATTTTGATCAGCTGTAATTACTGGATTATGAGAACTTCAACTGCAACTGATAGGACCGTCAGGATGAAAATGATGTTGGCGATAATCAAGGATGATTTAATTTTGATCAGGTGTGTCATGTTTATTTTTATTATAAATTTTATTATTAATTTTTGTTTTGTAATTTCTTTCTTTATGTACCGACATTAATTAACATTGTTAACATTATTAACCATTGACATGTTACGTTGACGTTTGACTTTACACTTTTATTGTATATTTTTGATAATGTTTATTTATTTTAATTTTATTTTCTGATTAGCCTTTCTTTTATTTTTTATGTATTGTAAATGTATTTGATGGGAGCTATGATATATTTATGTGATGACGTATAAATGTGGAGATGCACAGAGAAGGGGCGCACGGTGTGCCGCGCACCCAGCAGATAAGGACCAGTAGTGAGCAGGGGCGCACTCAGCCCAAAGGATCAGCAGTGAGCAGGGGCGCACTCAGCCCAAAGGATCAGCAGTGAGCAGGGGCGCACTCAGCCCAAAGGATCAGCAGTGAGCAGGGGCGCACTCAGCCCAAAGGATCAGCAGTGAGCAGGGGCGCACTCAGCCCAAAGGATCAGCAGTGAGCAGGGGCGCACTCAGTCCAAAGGATCAGCAGTGAGCAGGGGCGCACTCAGCCCAAAGGACCAGCAGCGAGCAGGGGCGTACTCAGCCCAATATAATATGGAGGACAGGGTCGTATTTAGGTTTAGTTACCTAGGTTTAGGGATGTTAAAAGTTTGACAAGCCTCCTTATGTCATTTGACAACCTTTCAAAGGGGCGTCTGTAATGGTACGATATACGGGGCAGTTAATTTTTAACATTTCTTAATTTATTATTTTAAGGCTTTACGAAATATGAGACTAATTTTAAATATTTGTTTTTAAAATTGTATTAGGTGTTAGGTATAAGTTTCACTTCCATACATTCTTTATTTGTTTATTATACTATAATAATTTATGAGTGCCATATTTAACCTAAGCATTCCAGAGTTAGAGTCGTTGTCAACACGTAATAAAAATAGGGTTTGACTTAGTATGATATTTTTAAATCACTGTACAGGCGCTCAGTGTAGACCTACGTGTTGGTGTCTTTAAGCATCCCATGCTGCACTAGGGAGACTCACCAAAACCGCACGTATGTCTGAGCCATATCGGTAGACAGAGAAGGTTCTCACGTTTCAAATGAACCATATCGATAGGCCTGTTTTGCTTTGATAAAATAAACATAGAAAAACTGAAGCCTTCAGTCTGAAGGGAGGGTATTTTTTAACACAGTTGGTTTTGGTTATTTGAAGGGAGAGTTACGTTTTACTATTAAATTCTTTAACTTTATCAGGGAGTGAATTTAACAAATATTACATTGTTTTTTATATAAATTCAGTTTAGTGAAAGTGTTGTTTATTTAAATAGGTATGTCTTTTCTATATTTAGTTATTATAATCTGAGGTCACAAATATCATAATGAGTGGTTAATTATTTAATATTTAATTTAAACTATATTTTATTATTATGATTTCAACTTGTTTGTTTGTGAGAGAAATAATAAGTTGAATTATTTTATCTTAATGTTGGTGGTTGGACAACCAAATCATAATCATTATTTTATGTTTATAATTATTATATTTATATTACACTTACTTTAACATATTATATAGTAATGTAATTTTACATTTTACTACATATTTATATTTAACATTTACATACTTGATTTTGTACAGTTTATCTTATTTTATTTATTTGATAAATTGATATTCATTATTTAATATGGTGAGACTTGTTTCAAGTTCGGCATATCAAATGAGTTATTTAGTTAGGGAACTTTGTTGCCGGTTGCTGGTAATAGGATGGTGGATACAGCTCTGCTTTGACAGGCGCACCCAATGGCCAATAATGCCAGGTAACCAATTTAGACAAAGAATGGTTAGATAGGGATATTGATATGAAGTTGTTGTTTTATGGTCTTATTTTATTATTATTGATAATCATTTTATTTTGCTATATTTGATTTGCACTGACATAATTTTATTACTTTATCATACCTGATTGTATTTATCATTTATGACTGTACATCAATTTTATTGCATAACTCTTGTCCACCACTATACCACTTGTTATTTATATATTTTATTTATACAAATACCATTTATTATTGTTGCTTGTGACCTAAGTTATATTATACTTTATGTTTCACATTATTGTTGTTTGCTGCTGTACATTGATAATTGTTTCAATGTGTATTTGCTTTTCTACATCGTCCGAGCCTATTATTTATGTAGGTGAATAATCTTAGCAATATGATAATATAATTGATTATATTCATATTGATTACTTTGATTTTGTTGTATTATTTATATTGTTGAGATGTGCGACATATATGCATGTCTGTATTGTATATGTGGGTTTTTAAGGTTTTACCTTATTAACTTAAATCAATCATACTTTTCAAATACAAATGTTTTTATTTATATTATTAATGTACAGTAACAATAATTAACTCTTGTATTAATTGCCTTTATTAATAAACTTATTTTAATTTAATACTTTTTCTTTGCTTTTTAAATATCTTTTCAATTGCTCAAGTACTTACGTATCCAGAACCGTATTCACAACAAAAAGGGGTCCTAAATTAATTTCTTTAAACTAGACGATCACGTGTTTTGGCCAAAGGTAGTTTTTTTATGGTTTTAATATTCTTTTTAATTATTAATGTGTGCCCCCCATCCCCCGTTCATTACACCTCCTCCCCCCATCATCATTTATGGATGATGCCATAGAATCTAAGGCTTAGATTAACAATAATTTGATCTATGATGAGAGTTCTGTTACGTTACGTTTTAAATATTTTTAAGAAATGCAGAAAGCCTTTTAATAACCTTAAGCTTAACTTTTTTTTGAGATAATTTATCAAAAGTTTGGTTTCTTTCTGATAAACAGTGTTCATTTTGTTTAAAAAAAAAAACTTATGCTTAGTCGGAGGAAGAACGCCAAGCGCAGCTTCGCGAACGAGCGAGGCGGTTGCTTGCCGAAGCCAGACGAGGTTCGACGCCGCCCACCGAAGTCATCCGAATCAGTCCGGAGTCCGTAAAATCGTACAGTGAAGCGGACGACCAGCTTCTACGGATGGGTGAAGAACTTGCCAAACTTGAGAGGCAAAATGGAGACGGTAAGTGCACATAATATAGAAATAATATTTTTTGTGTATTATATGTTTCCTCAACCTACCTTTTATTTTTTTCCCTCTTATGGACTTATTTTGGGCATTTACTTAAACAACATATGTAACCCAATATGTTAATAGTAGCTTGGATATTAAAGCATACAAGGTTTGTAATAAAGCTGTGAATATTCTTTGACTAATGACTCGACATAGCTACAAAAAAGTCACACTATTAAGACCTCAACTTATACGAACCATTTTGTAAAGTAACAAAAATAACAAAACGACATGACTTTTAAGATGATGTGTAAAACATGGTCTAATGCACAATCCACACAACAAGGTCTGTTCGATCCTGTTGGTCTGTGGTTCGATCTCATAGTAAAAAACTAAAAATCACTGCAACACTGCACATCATACGATGGCGGCCATTTTTGTTGTTTACAATTCTTGTGCTTTGGGTTTGTACAGATTAATAATCGTTTTAACGTTGTGTTTCTTACAGAGACACTTGCAAGCCTTAAAAGAGACCTCAAAATGGTAAGAACAATCATTTTACTCCTCTTTTGTAAAAAATAAACCTTATTCTATCAGGGCTGTCAAATGTCAATTTGAAGGTTAATTTAAGGTTATAACCCACAAAATAACCTTTAAATTGACATTTGATAGAATAAGGTTTATTTTTTACAAAAGAGGAGTAAAATGATTGTTCTTACCACTTTGAGGTCTCTTTTAAGGTTTGCAAGTGTCTCTGTAAGAAACACAACGTTTTAAACGATTATTAATCTGTTCAAACCCAAAGCACAAGAATTGTTAACAACAAAAATGGCCGCCATCCTATGATGTGCAGTGTTGCAGTGATTTTTTGTATTTTTACTACGAGATCGAACAGACCTTGTTGTGTGGATTGTGGTCTAATGTATATAAAATAAATGAAGTAATAGAAGTAGTCACCTTTGCAACTAATATTGTGTAGTTTGCCATTTAAAAAAAATAGGTTCAAGATGAAGAAAATCATTGTTTTAAAGCTGCTAATTCTATGGTGGACAAATATACTTGCTTATTACTTTTTGTAGTACTTATAAATTTATAGTTAAAACATTTTAAGGTTTACCACATACTTAACGTCATGTTTTGTTGAAGGTTCAGAAACTAACGGAAACATTTACTCGAAATTAGCAGAATACTCAGAATGCAAAACTAGTCCACATGATATTAAAGAACGAATTACTCCTGATAAGTTACCGGACGAGTTAGGATTAAAAGAGGTAAGTTTATTTACAATTTTATATTTAATATATGTCCTAATGTATCTTATTTAGATGGGTATAGACGTACATACGTGGATATACAGGGAAATGGAAGATCTAGAAAGGGAGGAATGTTCCATTGATGAACAAGCCGCCGTTTTGGAAATACAACTGAGGAATGTGATTAAGTCTAATACTAGTAATGAGGAGGAAGAAGCCTTAATGTCAAAATGGTTTATGCTCGTGAACAAGAAGAACGCGTTGCTTAGGAGACAGATGCAACTTAACATATTGTAAGTGCACCTATTTTAATTAATTAATTAATAATTAATGTGTTAACTTCAGAGAAAAAGAAGCTGACTTGGAGACCAGATACAAGATGTTAAACGAGGAGTTACAGAAAATAGCCTCAATAGAAGATTGGAGAAAAACTGAAGAACAAAGAAACAGGGAGCAAATGCTTCTAGAGGAACTCGTGCAAATAGTCAACAAGAGAGACGAACTTGTGCACCATTTAGACAATCAAGAAAAAGCGTAAGTTAAATAAAATAAAAATTTTCGTTTATGAAAAAATTATTTTTGTAATTTTTAGCATTGAAGAAGATGATCTTATCGAACAGGATTTATCACATTTAGAGTTGCAACCCAAGGATAAATGTGTAATTTCCTAAATTACACAGTAAAAAAATTGTTTATTACTCTCATCTTTTATTTTTAATTTATTGGTGCTTATTGTGATATATTTAATTTAATTTAATTTTTAGTTGCTTCCCATATACAGATCCATGTATATTTAATAAATTTGCTTATGTTACCTTAATCCTGACAGAAATCATCCTTTCTTTTATATCTAATGTTAGGTAGGTATCCTAAGAAAGAGTAAACGTGTTTTTTTAAACTTTGTCAAGGATGTATATAAAAAATCATGCAATCTAGACAAATATTGTTTATTTAAATTAATTTATGACTTTGCATGCCACATGTAATCAAGACATTGTTTTTAGAATAAACAGTAATAAAAATAGTCACTATTGACTTATGTACTTATTCCTGTAAGTAGTTAAAGAAATTTAAATTTCTTTAATTTTTAAAGTTACCAATTAAATTCGTAAAAATTCCAATTCGTATATTTATTCGACCGAATTGAATTAACATTTTGGCTGTAATACTCGACCATCCATACTTGAAGTGCAATATTCAATTTCGCTTCCCTTCGTGTAAAATTAATAAAATGTAAACATATTTATGTAGCTTTCCCACATGATATTTATTTTTCCTAGTAAATAGCAAATAAGCTTGTTGGTAATTTATGTTATGAATATTTGGCAAAAGTTTATCAATTTTACAGTTAACTTTCCTCTTTAAGAAAAAAACTTTATTTTACTTACTAAAACAAAACTTTTGCCATAAAACATAAATATGTGATAGTAATCAGAAATTGTTTAATAAGTCAATGGATTAAATAGCCTATTATTTATTTTTGGTTGTAAAAATGTTGTGTGTATGTAGATAGACATGTTACATAAAGATATTGTGTAATAATTGTGATTTTTTTAAATTGCGAAGCATTTGTCAGAATTTGCTGTATAAAATGTATGCACTTATCTGTCAAATACTGTGAAGGCATATTTTTTTACAAATTAGAATCGGCTTTTTGTGGTTGTAATATAACTCTGTTCAAGTCTGTATATTTCCAATGTATTTAAGTTAAAAACTGTGTAAATATAACAACTAAATTAAAACTATTGTGTATTTTTATTTAACTCATAAAATATAAATTTTCCTAATTCTCCTAACAGACGTTAGGAAGTTATATTGCAAAATATATAGCAAGAATATATTATTTTTAACAGTGGTCATATTTAGCCTAAGGTTGGTAGGTATATGAAAATAAAACAAATTGTTTTTTGCTTTATTTATTGAGTAAAGGTATCCCTATTATTTATTTTTGAAAAGTTTGTTACACCTACGGAACTATATTGGAACACTCGAGAGAAGTTTTCTCTTACCAGATTAGTTATCTTTAATGTTTAATGTAAAATTTTACATTAAACTCATAAGTTCTATAGAATGCCAACGGTTTAAAAAGTTAAAGGGATTGATTTTGTGGTATATTCCCTCACATAGTCTGTGTTTTTGGTCATCAGATAACTCTTGTTTTTTTATACTAATTTTTCCATGTCGCCCATATTTTAAAATCATATTTGCGACTAAAAATTTAAAATATTTAATTAATAATAAAGCTCATTTAAAAGTGTCCAAACTTAAATAAAACACATTATTTTATATTCCTAACTACTTAGACACGTTTGAATTATATTAGCCTTTTGTATTATGGATCCAATGCATTTATAATTTTATTAGTATTCGGACAGGAAAATAAAAGGATAACCCTACAGCACTCAATATTTTTGCAACGTTGCAGCAAGATGGCAATTTCAGCAAGATTACATGTAAATTGCATGATACAATATTGGGTTTTTTCAACAAATGAGTTATATAAATTTCGAGAAATCTCCACGGATGTCATTAATTTTTCCTTATGGAATGTATACAAAATTGTAGTTTTGGCTATAAATTGAAAAGTAAAAGCTTTGAACATGTAGAATCGATTACTTTTGAGAAATGACAAATAAACAAAAACTAACCAAAAATAATTTTCAGAAAAATAAAAATTGCAAATTAACCATAGAAAATAAAAATGATTTGTCGAATATTCTGGTGGTTTAAAATTAAGCAAAAACTTTTTTCAAGAATTAAATTTTCTGATAAATGTAAAATATATTTTTTTTCTCTTTGTATCCGTGGACATACTGTATAATAGGGTGGAGTGAATTTTATTAAATTTATTAATTGATTTTTCCTATATTATTAATTGTTGACTAAAGGCGTAAAATGAATAAATATCGAAAAAATATTCCAATTTTTTAATATCTTGAGGTGGCGCATCAGTCTCGAAGTATTGAAATTTCTAACAAAATATTACTTTAATCAAAGTAATAAAAATAGCATTATTTATAAATAAAAAATTTATTTTAGTAAAATTAACGTGAAACGTTAACATATTTAATAGTAAATCATATGCTTTAAGCAGGGGCGGCTAGTGTATAAGGGCTGCAGAGCTGCAGAACTCCCAAAATTTTCTTATTACTTGACTATTTTTTTAATTATTTAATATTTAAGTGCGATAGTGTACCTATAAATATTTCAAACGCAAGGCTGCATAAAAAGTTTTTATTATAAACATTTGCCGTGTCGCCGTACTTGGCCACTACAGTCATCCAAACGACCGGTAAAGGTCTCTAACGCTTAACGCTTACAATACAACAAAGCTGGGCCACTTTCGAGTTCTGGTTCCCATTTCAATACCGTAATTTTGCCCCGCGCCGCTCTTGGCCCTGGGTTAAGATAGTGAAATTTAAGCCAAATCGGAGCTGCACCAACATACAGTTCCTACTTCCCGGTCGTTTGTTTTTCGCTTCGCGTTCACGTTTGTTATTTTAACTAGAAGACTGTTAATTCTGTGTATTTTTGTGTTTTGTGTTTGTTGTTGTATTCTTTTGTAAGAATGAATGTGGTGTATTATTTAATTATGATTTAATTAATTATCTGTAGGTACCATTTAATTAAATGCCAACTGCGCCACATTTTTTTAAACCCCACTGGCAGAACTCACAAATTTTACTGCCACGAGCCGCCACTGGCTTTAAGTAACTTCAGGAGTGTTTATTGGTAGAAATGAGATCTTCTTTTTCGCGAAAATACTGACATTTGGTATAAAAATTTGGTAATTATTTTCTGATTTTAATTCTTGTTCTGATGAAACCATCTCTTGCTTTCGATCCACAAACCGAGTCTGAAGATTCAGTATACTGGTTATAACTAGTTTCACACAGCGTTCCACTGCTTGGGTGTGACACGGAAATTTTTGGAAGTATAGGAAATGGTCACCCGAATAAATCATATCGGTAATTTCTGTCATCGTATTTCATAGTCATAGGTGGTTCAGTTACCTTTTCTGTAGCCCAGTGAATTAACTCGTAAAAATGTAATGCTTCAGTATTTAATTGTGAAAGCTTTAATTCCCGTAATCTCGAACATTTTGATTCTTTTCTCGCCTTTTATATTTTCGGTAATGCTAGTTCTCTGATCGATAGATATATTGTAGGTAATAGGTTGCTAGTAATAGGTTTTCGGGATAAATATTAGCTATAGCTTACAAAGATCCAGGCAAGCTAGCACATTCCCTATGGCTGACGTGGGCTAATAGGATTATTCTTTTATATGGGGGGACAGCAAATCCATCGGAAAACCTAAAAGAATTGGCTACTTTTATCATGAAAGTGTATGCCCCAACGTGGTTTTACATCAACACCAAGCCTACGTGCAAACATGGTCCTATTCACATATTTAATATGACTAAAAGAGCATTACACCTCCAGAAAAACTTGAAGGCCTTATAACTATAGTTATAAAGAATATTCAGCGAAATATTTATCCCGAAAACCTATTACTTGCTATGTTACCTACAATATATCTATCGATCAGAGAACTAGCATTGCTGAAAATATTAAAGGCGAGAAAAGAATCAAAATGTTCGAGATTACGGGAATTAAAGCTTCCACAACTAAATACTGAAGCATTACGTTTGTACCAGTTAATTCACTGGGCGACAGAAAAGGTGACTGAACCACCTATGACTATGAAATACGATGACAGAAATTACCGATATGATTTCTTCGGGTGACCATTTCCTATACTTCCAAAAGCTTCAGTGTCACACCCAAGCAGTGGAACGCTGTGTAAAACTGGTTATAACCAGTATACTGAATCTTCAGTCTCGGTTTGTGGATCGGAAGCAAGAAATAGTTTCATCAGAACAAGAATTAAAGTCAGAAAATAATTACCAAATTTTGATACCAAATGTCAGTATTTTCGCGAAAAAGAAGATCTCATATCTACCAATAAACACTCCTGAAGTTACTTAAAGCATATGATTTACTATTAAATATGTTTACGTTTCACGTTAATTTTACTAAAATAAACTTTTTATTTATAAATAATGCTATTTTTATTACTTTGATTAAAGTAATATTTTTTTAGAATTTTCAAAACTTCGAGACAGATGCGCCACCTCAAGATATTAAAAAATTGGAATATTTTTTCGATATTTATTCATTTTACGCCTTTAGTCAACAATTAATAATATAGGAAAAATCAATTAATAAATTTAAAAAAATTCACTCCACCCTACTGTATAATATATACCGTGTATATAGATGAGTATTTTAATTACAATTGGAGTCGGCCACTTTACGATTGCAATTGTTTTTTTTTAGCCCAATATTCATTTTGTTGTTTACGTTTCACCGGTCGGTAAGTAGACGCACGTTTTTCCCACCATTTTGTAATTTTCAAGTACTGTGCGAATTTATTCTACTGTGCGCATTTTAAATTAAAAAAAAACTTGAAATTTTTCAAAATCTTTTTTGGATCCGCCATTTTGTTTTTAAAAATTTTCAAAATGGATACCTATTATATTTAAATTGTAATCAGCGACCTAAAAAACACATGTTGCCAAATTTGAGCACTATTTTTTTAGAAAAAAGGATCCGCTATTTTGTTTTTGGAAATCAAATTCATTATCAGCGACCTCAAAAACTATGTGATGCCAAGTCAGAGCGATATCATAATACTTTTTTGGAATAATGTTCGCCATATTGGTGGAAAAATGGATATCAAATTCGTAATCAGTCGTGAAAATGTGACGTGCAAAATTCGTTTTAAGAAATATTTTTTTCGTTCATTTCTCGAATTTTTTTTTATTGTGACGCTCCAAAGGCGGGTGGAGTTCGGGCGGTTGGTGTTCGGTCTGCTGTGGCCATTTGTGAGAAGGGGGATGGGGGTCAAAAGTCCCCTAAAAAGCATGACCTAAAACGTCAGGCAACATATCTAAACCCTATTAAAAATGCCATATAGAAACACAAAATAAAAATCTATATGGTTCTATCTGGTTCAATATAGGAATTTGAAACAGGCATTGCACTATTGAACCAGATAGAATTCCATACCTGGAAAACCATATAGAAAAGTGATTTCTATATGGATTGCCATATAGGTTCATATTGCTCTATCTGGCCCAATATGGTTTGGGTGTGAAAAAATTATTACCATATAGATCCATATTTAACCATATAGGGGAATCTATATGGTTAAATATGCAATTTTCGTTTAAATATATATACATTTTAAAATGGAATTCCATATTCAACCATATAGGGAAACCTATATGGAAAGACACATAAAACAGAAACCAGATAAATCCATATAAAAATCCCTAAGTTGTACATTTTAAAATGAAATTCCATATTAAACCATATAGATTCCAAAGTGTAAACCAGGTCGTTCCATATAGGACATATAGAACCATATAAATCCATATTAGTTTCCTTATCTGGATCAATATGGGTTCTATAGGGCATTTTTAAGCTTAAGGTTTATGGAATATTGCTTTTGGAAGTAAAATCTGAACTACTGCTCAAACAAAGATATAAGATATAATTTCCATGGACTACATATTCTTTTATAAGAGAAGAGAATTTAGTTTCTGGATCCACTGAAAAAAAGCAACTGGTAGGACCCGTATGTAATACAGCAATTGCTGTTAGCTTTTATGTATATATACGCATGACTACGATTACAATTACGAACAGCTGGATTATTTTTTAGTTAATATTTTTTAAAA